CTCCAGTGATGTTAGGAAATTGCAATCACTTATTTTCCCAGTCTGTCCCTAGATGCTGTGCTGAGATAGCTGACCACGATTGATTAAACTGACAGATGCTTCAGCGTCTTCATCTTTTTCTAATCATGCTTGGAATCAGCTTTGGTCGGCACCACCAGCAGTTCTATTGATCTAGGAAAAGATAGTCTTAGCCCCTACTTAAACTCGATGAATAATTAACTTTTTCAGGACATATCTACTATCCAGAAGTTGGCCCATGAAAGGGATGACGGGAACTACCTTATGCTTAAAGTTCAACTCCTTGCCAAGGCTAAAAAAATATCAGTGACAGACAACATACATAGGATTAAATTTTTGAGCCTCATATACTCTTCCAGAATATGAAAACAGGGCTAACTAATTACCCACAATAAAATTTCTAGCATTTGAAGTAGTGAAATTGGAGTTCTCAACCTATCACGTATACAATTAAGTTAGCTAATCACTAGCAAAATTATAACACTTCGCGACTGAGAAGTTAGATCTTCTCTTTCAGCTTTTCAATGACATAACAAAGCAAAATCACTAGCTTAACCTAGTGCAGAGTCGTAAGTAATAACTTATCGAATCATTAGCTTTATAAGAAGATTTAATATGCACATACTCAAAATTACAATATACAATTATAAGAAATATAGGCATCATATTATGCTTGAAAAATTCTACATATTGGCCTACAAAAATGACTTGAACTAATTGCAATCTAAAATTCATTGATATAACTCACTTGCTCCTCATTTTGGTGATCTTGGTTGTTTCAATTGATAAAGAAAGAAATGACTTACTTTGATATTACTTCTATGGACATAAGCAACCAATTTACTTAAATAGCTAACCATGTCCACATCTCAAATAAGGACGTAAAAGAGTAAAAAGCTATAAGTTAACATAGGAGCACAGGCTCAACAACAATAGATAATCTAATAAATAAGCTAAAGATAATTTGACAAAATGCTCAACCTAGACAGGTAGAGGCAGCAGCTAATGAAGCGCGTACCAATGCACCATCCTTCTCAAAGTGGACATCATCAAATAAATTTTGGACCTTCAACATAATACAAGCCTACCAGGGAATAGCAGCTTCAATCTTTCCCCATGAGACCAAAGCAGGTCCCGTAGCCTTTTCTTCATCTTCTTAACCACCTTACAAGCCTCCTTTTTCTTCGACATTACAAGCAAACCCTTAACTAGACTTCCATTGCCTCGAATGGAGGCACCCATTTGCTCTTCAGAATCACCTTACACGTATCCAATGCTGAAAGAAAGTCTCCTTCTTGCACCAAATGCCTAAACAAAGTATAATATGTCAACGAAGACGGTACAACATGCCCGTCACTAATCATCCTCTCCAAACCCATTTTTGCAGAATCCAAAGCTCCTAACCTACAGAACCATAAATAACCCAATTATAACAAGCAGCATTCGGCTTTACACCTTTAACCGCCATCTCGTTCAACAACTCCATAGCTCGAGCGCACTGCTTATCCTTACACAACCTCACAATCATATGCTTATAAGTAGTCACATTACTCTCTAAACCCCTCCTTAAAACCTCCTTCAACATCTCATCAAACTTCCCCCAATCCTTCCCCTTCAAATAAGCCCCCAACATCACATTATATGAATGTATATCGGGCAAAACCCTAAACTCCTCCTCCATCTTCCCCACCAACAATTCCTCCGCCAAACCCACCTTCCCCTCCTCACAATACGCCCTCAATTTCAAATTATACGCCTTAACACTCGTCGAAACCGACATTTTCTCAGCACCACAATCAAAAAACCTCATGAAACTCATCAAATTTCGAATTATTCAACAACGCAGTAAGAATTGCACAAAAGGGTTTATCACTAGCATGAAATTGAGGACCATAATCATAAAACAAACGAAGAGCAGAGTCAGTCATACCAGCTTCAGAGTAAAGCATGATGAATCGAAGCACGAAACCTTCAGTAACCTTCTTCCTCTTGGAAAGGTGATCTTTGACGATGGTTTCGACGAGGTCGCAGCGATTGGCGCGGGCGAGCTTGCGGACGGCATAAGGGTAGATGGGGCGGTAACGAGTGAAGGCGGAGAAGGAGGATTGAGAGAGGAGAATGTCGGCGATTTTGGTGGGGTTTGATTCTGTAACGATGGAGGATTGAGCTGCGCGAAATGAGGAGAAGGGAGGAGAGAGAGTGGTGGTGGAGAAGGAGGAGAGTTGAGAGGAGTGGAAAAGGGGAGAGCTTGGTTTTGGTGTGAGTGCTTTGCGCAGTGAAGAGGCCGCCATTGTTGAAGAGAAATGAAGGTTTCCGGTGGTTTGAAGAGAGAGCGAAACCAAAAAAAGGTTTAATTGGCGGATAAATTGCCAAAATAAGCCTGTAATGGAAACAATTTTTCAAAGTAGACGCGTGACAAAACTATTTACCAAATTAGGGTAAAACGCCAACTAGACAGACGTTTTTATGCTGGCTTTTTTTTTTTTTTTTTTTAAAATTTCAGTCAAGGAAAAAACGTCATCCATGGTGGCGTTTTTACCCTGACTGAAATTTCTAAATTAATTGGCCAAGGTAAAAACGTCATCCTGGTTGGCGTTTTACTTTCAGCCATAAAGAGCTTGGTTGGCGTTTTTACCTGCAACACCCTGCTGCATACTGCAGGCCCCACACCAGCCACAAATACAGCAACAGCAGCAACAACAACATCAACCACAACAAAAGCAGGCACCAGAACAACAACAACAACATCAGCAACTAACAACAATAACAACAACCAGTTCAATGAAAAGAATGAATGCATATGGTGAAGTTGATAATAGACAGAAAATCAATTAAAAAATTCTGTAAAATTGATAATATTTGTTTGGATACAACGTACTAGAGAATCTGATTACAACAACCTAACAAAAGAAGTTCTAAGATCCTGATTCATCTATTCGATGTAATTGTTGTCTATCAACTCGCGGTCTCCTACGACGATAGTACTGAGATACCGTTGTGAAAGGATCTGGGGCAAAAGTCTGGGGAGGAATTTGTTGGCTGGATGATGGTCCCTCCTGTGATGAGTATGGCGCATACATAGGTATGGCGAAATCTTCCTGATTGTCAAAAAACTGCGGGGACACTGTAGGGGACGTGTGAGTCTGTCCCATGCTACTCTCGTCTAGCTCACGGTGTGAACCCTGGTGTGATTGGTCCCACCCCTGGATAAGATGATCATGACCATGTCTCTGTAAGCTACTCACAGTCATTGCTGAATCTCATCTATCTCCGGTATGGTGGGATACGATATGCTCAAGACTCCCAATGCATCATGTATAGCAAGCATATCAAATGCCTGCATTAGTCAACAGTCAGTCAATTTAATAATACCAGAAATTATAAATTGATAAAAAAAAACAAAAAAAATCAAAAATTCAACTAAAACTCACATATCCACTGATGTCTCCGAAAGCTGGCTGATAATGAGTTGAGGATGGGGTGTAGTTAGGGTTGATGTAGCGTCGAGTAATGCTCCTGTACCATACCATGTATGGATCGTGATACTCCATCCGACCTTGTAACACCCCAATAATTCTCTCTTTAAAACCTGTATTAACCTGTAATCACCTGTAAATACTTTTAATAACCTGTGAGAGAATTATATTACTGGTGTGCTACAGCCACGTGTTAAAACGTTAAGGCTAGTTTCAGAAATCAGTAGCGGAAAACTAACTTAGTTTTAAAAAAGAATATAAGTTTCAAAACCAAAAAGTCAAGACTCAATTTAGTCTTACAAGTTGGAACCATAATGGCCCTTATTCAAAACCCAGTTAAATAGGAAGCGAGCAGAATTAGAGTTAAAATAACATCAATTTATGAAATGAAATAAGCTAAATGAATAACCAGCGCTCCACTCAAATCCCATCACCCTGATGCAAGTTCAGTTTATGCAGAAACCTGTGATTAGTCTGCTCCCCAATATTACAAGTGTAAGAATTAGATCATTACAGGGTCATTGAAGGCGAAGGCCATGACCAAGAGAAACACACAAAAGCACGTCATCAGCAACGCTGAGTACATACAAGCTATGAAACACAGTAAAGAGCCTTAGCATGATACTAACAAGCATTCCATACACTCAATATAATCATTGACTCGGACACATGATTCAATTGTTACTTATTACAAAGTTTTTATTTAAGTAGCATTGATCACTTCATTAATTGACTAGATTAAGGAATAGACCGGGTTGTCCCCCTGTGCTCCATTCCGGAACATTAAATAAGAAAACCCTATGCCTCCTTTCGGAAGACATTAATAAACATCCAATGGCAGGCGGGCGTGACTCCGTGGCCATAGATAGTATGAGATCTCATCTAACTCATTATAATTTTAAAAGAATTTAACACAAGAGACTCGTAGATCAGACGGCCTCTGAAAAGTGCACGGCTAATACCCCGTGAACCCCAACCCCTGTTTGTCATTACTCTAGATGTGCACAAATCTAGAGTTTTATTGCTCATCCTTCTTGCACTTTACGTGATTTATCAGTTTAAATTTGGTGATGACTCATATGCAAACAACACAACTAATCATACAACAATCATTCAAGTTTCCAATTCAATTCTTAATTTATCAGTGACAAACAACATTTATTATTGAATCCTTTAACTACCTCGGTGTATAAACACCTCAAATGCATAAGGCACCTCATATCCACAATCTTGTCTTATAAGACTTTAACTCTACCTTTACCCGTTCCATTTCAATACAAATGAATAAGTAATTATAATAATTAATTCCATATATCCTTGTATTTTTGCCTCTAAGTTCACTTTGCAAATTATTGCATAAATAATGCTCATAAGGGAAATCAATGCAAATTTTGTCATATATAAATTAAACCAATCATCACATTTATCATCAATCAACTCATTACCAAACAATGTCAACCAATCCACAAGTTCCCTAGCATGATTCTAGGTTTTTCCAAGTCCCTAAACATGCTCCTAAAATCAAGTTTTCTCGTATTCTTATACGTACCTTAATTAAATCATCTTTCCAACTAGCCACAATGCTAGAAATTACTCAACTTAAAGTCTCCTACAATACCAAATACATATACTCAATTACTTCCTTGATTACACAAATTTCTAGCAACTTTTAAACACTTTAAACCTTCTCTAATAAGCTGAAATTTTGGTTAAAAACCTTTAAAACTCTTTCTTTAAGTGGGTAATTAAAACCACAATATAAAAACTCATTCATGGTGTTTATATAAAAATTCCAGCACACTTTTTTTAAAATTTAAACCCCCAAATAAATCTGAAAATTATTTTTAAAACATTAAACCTTCGTTAAAAATCAAAAACTGTCCGAAAACCCTATTTAGAGGCTGATTTTGGCTACGAGAGGGTGGTGCTCACTACCATAGGTAGTGAGTTATGATTAGAACGTTGTTTACACACGAAAACACTATTTTTTTTTGTAAAAATCGGACGAGTTATAATCTCAGCGGGATTAAAACGTGATTAAAAATAATTAAGGACGGAGATCGGAATTTAATTACCGAAAATTTGTTTTTATGTTTAATTAATCTTTATAAATTCAATAGGAATAAAAGCCCTAATTTAATTGATTATTAGAACCCTAAAAATCAACACTTTAATAGTTAAAACCCTAAATTTTAATACTTTATAAAATCTGAAATTAAAATACTTTATAATATGAAATTTATAATCTTTAATCATCAAAATACAATTATAAAACATACTAATATAATTTATCAATCAAAAATCAAAAATCAAAACCCAAAACAAATAATTACATAAACAATAATTTAAAACAAGGAGGAGGAGAGACGAACCACCGCGGTGGCTGGCTGCGGGTCGCCGACGGTGGCTGGGCAGCCGGACGTGGTCGGCGTCGGGTGGCTGCAAGGTGGCGTGGTGTTGGTGGCTTTCACGTAAAGGAGAAGGGAAAGAGTTAGAAAAAGAAAGAAAAAGAAAGAAAGAAAAATAGAAAAGAAAATAAATTACCTTTACCATTTGACTTTTGTGGGGAAAATTTTGGGGCTTTGGGGATATTTATAGAGTATAGAGTAGGGATTGTGTTTGGGCTTAATAAATAAATGGACTTCAGTCATGAAATATTTGACCCACAAGGGTTCAGATAAAAGAATTGAGCTTACTTAAATGAAGTGGGTTGGTTCACAAGGAATATGTAAGGATTGTTTACATACTATTATTTAAACGAGCCCAACAATTAATAAAATTTTAGCCCAAAATAAATTATACTTTTATAAAATTAACTAATTTAAAATACTTTAGCCCTTAAAAATATATATTATAATTAATTAAATAATTTATAAATATATAAAAATACGGGGTATTACATACCTTGGAAAGGCGCACCATCCGCGACGTGTTGCAACCGCTGATTCCACATGTCAATGAAAGGGGCATGCTGAATTGCCCAACTCACGTCCCCCTTTCCTTGTTGGTCTGTCCTGTGCAAGTGGACACTCGTGTCACACGTGGCGAGGACGGCCTGACGAAGGTCGAACTGTCGCATGACTCTATCGGGGAGGTGAGCCTCCACTACCTCAAACAGATGAGGACTGTCATGGCACGCCACTCCATCTGATGATCACGAAGATATGGGGGCATGGCATCGACTTGGTTAGGGACGTACGGATCCCACGTCATCTGCATTAACACGCCGTCGTTAACATCATAATTAACTTATTGAAACAATGAACGGGGTGTTAAATTATTTTTTATTGTGAACTATCACCTGAGACTCGCTCAGTCTGTCGAATGCGTCTCTGTAATACGGTAGACCCCTCGATGCATGCATATGAGTAAGTCTCTGCACCAGCCACCTAATTATATATAATATTAGTGTTCATGAGAAATTATTAGCAAAATAAAGCGGTATGAGGAAAACTTAACAATAAGTCATACATACCTGCAACTGTATGCCAGGTCTGGTGGAGGGAGTGGCGGAGCCTCATATGCATGCTCTGGTCGTCTTCCTCCTCCTGGCGTCGACGGCTAGCAGCCCGAGCTGGCCTACCAACGTGGATGTGCTCCTAAGCCCATAACTGTAATAAAAAACACAAGTTACGTTTAGCCACCGTTAAGTACTTAATAGTTAAAAAATGGTATGAAATTAAAGGGCTACCTGAAGCACAATCAAGGGACTGCCGATCTCCCATCTATCTCGCTGGGATGCTCTGCAAAGATGGCGATACCAGGTCGCCAGACACGCACTACCCCAGCTATAGTCACGTATCTGCTCCCAGCTGTAGGTAGATCAACTGTATGAGACTACCTCTCTTGTTACTAAATAACGATCCTATCAACATGAACAGGTACGCTCAAGCGTATCTCTGGACGACTCCATCATCAGCATCAGGAGGCAACACCCCAAATGTCTATCGTAACCATATGTGTCTCAGCCCTGTGCCTCTAATATCGGTGTCCTTGGGCCTCATCCCTAACACCCTCTCAACAAGGCCACGAGGGTCCTGTATAATGGGCCCTTTCCCTACCACGTATTGGGAGTCGTGTCAGTATCGCCACATCTCGGAGCGTGACGGTGGCCTCCCCAACTGGTAGATGGAAGGAGTGAGTCTCTTGTCGCCATTTCTCAACGAGAGCAGTAATTAGCGCTCGATCTATAGGTGTGAAGGCCATCCTGTGAAACCCGCCAAAACCCACAAAATCGATGTAATGTAGCACACGCGGGTCGACGACCCAATCTTCCACGACCCTTCCAACGTGGTGCCTGCAAAGCAAGCACCGAGCTGGATCAACCTGTACAACAACAAAAAATACATTGTTGGATCAGTCAACATAAAAATCGCCGAAAACATTAAAGATTTGGTAAATGAAAACTTACTAACTGCTCCCATATGTCACGGCTCCGATGGGTGCTCTGAAGTGTCAGGAGAGAAGGGTCAGCTGGTCTTGGGTCAGCTCGTGGTGGTCCCTGAGCGTGTCCCTCCATGATCTCTGTTCATTGCACAAGATTTGTTTTTGTACCACGTAACGACCAACCACACTCCCTCTTGCATTTAAGACGAAGGACATTCTCATTCGACATCACCGTGGTGTAGAACTGATTCCGTTCTATGGAATACAATTTTACCATTTCCTGGAGCACTTTCTTAATGTCGAAAATCATGCGCTTCTCAAATTCTCCCCTGACAACAAACAAAGTTTTGACTCCCCGAATCAGCCCAATACATGTCCACCTCATAGTTCTCGTTTATTTGAGTGAACCAAGGCAATGGAGTTCTAGCCACAACATCATCACAGACAATTCGTTGTTTATAACATCTTCCTCATATCCGCCTTCACCTTCGTTGTTTGTATCATCATACATATCAAGATTAGACAATTCGTTGTTTACAATAGGCTCGGCATTCACCAAAGTTTGAGACGGTGTTGCTTGAACATGTTCTTGCGTAGGAGAGTAACTGTGCAATTGCATCGGTGATGAAATGTCATTGTTTGAGGTAGATGGACCAGGTTGCTGCAACATTGACACCAACGCGCCTTCATGTACAGGTGCAGTAAAATGTGAACTGAATGGAATGTCAAATTGATCGTCGTGTAACATTCTACTGAAAGATCCCATTCCATATTCAAATGACGGAATGTTGTATGAGGGCATTTGTAACGATCTTGTAGCGTATGAGGGAAGATATATAGGTTGTTTCTCTGTCAAGCAAATAGTCTGTTGAGTACATATAGGCACCATTTCCACATACAAATCAGTGGGAAGAGACCTCATTGCAACGACACCCTCAAAACCTCCAAATGGTCGTCATTCAAAATAGGTAAGATTTGAACCCTATTGACACTCTCAAACCTCATTTTAATGTTCAGTTCAACATTCGTTGGGTTTGAAGCAGTTATAGTATGAACCTTCTTCAACAAATCATTGTAAGTCATCCAAAGTTTCAATGCCAGCGGTTTCATTTTTCCTCCTCTATACTTGACGTTCGATTTGACACACAAAATTTCACCCTCCCCCAACGGCACAACAAAACAATCAATTGCGAAGCCATGTTCTACATAACAATCGGAACACATATTAGATGACACAAATACACAACACAACTAAAACCACAATGATTTCATTAAATCCTTAAGCTAAGCGTATATACAACTTAGTGTTCAACAATGTACTTATTTACCTAGTTAATCAACAATGTAGTATATATTTAAATGTACCTAATTCAACAATGTAGTTTGTAAACATACTTGAAATTTACACACTAATTTAAGTATGAAGAATAATGTATGCTTCATATACATGGTTTGCAATTAAACAACATACATATAAATATACTTAATTTCAATAATTAAACAGCAATGTATTATGTAGTTATACTTATTTCGCATACTTGAACAACAATATAGTACATACATTGTAAATTACAAAACATCAATTCCCAAAAAACATCATAAACAAGTAAAATAGTTCAATTCAATACATACCTCAAGTTCGATCAATGTACTGCGTAAAAGTGTTGAACAAAGAAGGAGGAATAATTTTTTAGCGAGTATGATGAAGATCTAAGCAATGGGATGTGATGAATTTGCTGTAAATATGGAGGATTGGGTGAGCAATGTGGCTCGGGTTAGGGCTTGCAAATTGGGAGTTTTCGTTTTTTTTTGAAGAACAATGGAAATAATAACTCTGCTTTGCCTGAAATACTCGATACAAAAACGCCAGCCTGGTTGGCGTTTTTGGTACAACGGTAAAACGCCAACCTGGCTGGCGTTTTTACCTTGCCCAATTTTTTTTAGAAATTTCGGTCAGGGTAAAAACGCCACCCTGGATGGCGCTTTTGCCTTGACTGAAATTTTTAAAAAATAAATGCCCAGGATAAAAACGCCAGCCTGGTTGACGTTTTACCCTGGAAGCTCAGTTTGGTAAATAGTTTTGCCACACGTCTACTTTAGGAAATTGTTTCTATTAAAAGCTCACTTTGGCAATTTTTTCCTTAATTGGCACTACACTAAAACTCAATAGATAGTCAAATAGTCAATACTCAATACACCTAAAGTTGTCAATACAAGTGGGGGTGAGCATACCAGGGTACCCTGTTAAATTTATTGGAACCGGAACCTGTTGCAATAAGTTCCTAAAAATGAGAACCGGATCCTGTTGAACAGGTTCCTGAAAATTGGGAAATCGGAACCGGAACCTACAGGTTCCGGTTTCGATTCAGGGTACCCTATCTTTTACTATATTTTGTAATTTTTCTTAAAAAAATTGTAAGGTCATAAATCTACTTTGCAAATATAACAAACCAAAAATAGTTGTTTACTAAATTTAATACATATAGTTATAATAATTATTTTATATATGTTTAAGTTAAAATTGGGCTTAAATTGATATGTGATTTGGGGTTAAGTAACACTTTTATTAGGTTACAGGGTACCCTACAGGTTCTTAGTTCCAAAAAATCGAGAACCTAAATCGGAACCTGTTGCAACAGGTTTCTCAATTTTACTACCCGGAACCGGAACCTCCTGTATAGGTTCCGGTTCTGGAACCTGCGGTTCCTAACAGGTTCCGGTTCCGATTCAGGGTATCCTGAATTTTTGCTCACCCCTAAATACAGGTATTCAGGTCCGGGGTCATGTCAAGCTTTGACCTTTGGGTCTTTCTTCGGATAGAGCAACGTGAAAGGAGGAGAAGGGAGCTTTGGCCTTTGGGTCTTATTCGGATTGAGTCTTGTTGTAGGTTGGGTAGTCATGTCAAGTCTTGTTTCTTAGGCGGGTTAGGTCTTAGTTGGATTGAGTTTTTGCCGTGCTAATATAACACTTAGGCCTTATTTAGTTCACCTTATTTTTACTTAAAAAAATAAGTTCGGATTAGATCATATCAGAAAAAATAAGTTCATATCATATCATCGTTTTATGTGCAGTTTTTTATCGCTAAATATCTTTAATTTCGTGATGAAAAAAATTATGAAAATCACATATTAATAAAATAAACATTATTACGAATTTAACAAGACCCCACTTGGTATATTTTTTCCGTATAGATTATCGTATATA